CATGGAGCAGGCGCTTGCATGTGTTATCTCATCTCGCTCGCTACGAAAAATCAATAACACTCTCGTGTTACCGACATTTCATGCATGCAGCATGGAACACAACCAAAATTGGGCACTGCATTATCCGCTTGAAAATATAGCACGGATCGCGGGGACTTTATCGGCAGTGCTTGAAAATGGGCGTACCTGAGTAGTTCCAAAAATGAAAATGGCGTAAGGCGCTGAAATCAGCCGAGCGAAAACGGTCAATCAAGTAAAACGCCGGCGTGGCCGCTCTCAGGTTTCTCTCTGCTGTAAGAATAGTTAAAAGTAAGTAAAAAAACTAAGTTTTGCGTTGTTTTGCCAAAAGTGAAACTACAATTGGATTAGGTATATAACATTTTATGTATAATTAGAGATTATCACGTTTTATATACGCTTATTTATGTATGGACAATTTTCTCTCGTTTCGTCAAATCTCACTTTTTTGTATAAAGAAATAACACGAAAATTATCCTTTTAATTATTTTTTAACTCTTCTTCTCATTATTCTTCTATTAGAAATTGTACACAGGAAAGAGAAGAATGTCTATGCATAGACATATTTCGTATATATAATTATCTGTAAGGTCTGCATCTAAAGCGCCCTAAACGAAATCTGAGTTTTATCTCTTTCGCACGACGATGCAACATCAAACTAAAGCTCTATTCTTCTCACGATGTGCTTCAACACTCTAAACGCTCGTTTTCGCTTCCAACTTTATTTCTATCGAGGTATATTTATTAGCAGCGCTCGGCAAAAGCATTCGACTCCCAAGGCAGTATGTCAGGTGGATTTCAGTAATCTTTACATCTAAATCACTGATTTCCACGTCGTGAATCTCTCAAATAATCCCTACATTAAAATAACTGGCTCTAGAACCAATCTCGTTACCAAATGCAAGAAATCTGCAACACTTTTAAATCAACACGTACGTACATTCGAATCTGCAATTTCATAAATAAGTCTTAATATATATTCAATTTAACAAGTTTTACTTAATTCGATGCGCGATTTAATTTTAATCTCAATTCCGATATCGGAGGCGTCGAGAAATACGCGATTTATGATTAATATACGAAAGATTGGGACATACAAGTTTCCAAAGTAATTTTCGTTTTTCATAGCTTTCAATGTTTTCGGTCATACTTTTATCCTTTTACGTATCATTCATTTAGAACGGTGGCATAGCTCGGAAAAAACTTTTCCCACAAATGAGTTCGAATATTTGAAATCGTCGAAATTTCGTAATACTTTTTAAAGATGCGATTTAGACGTGTAGCAATTGCACGGAGAATTTTCTCTTAAAATTTTCCCTAAAAATCACGCAATCGTGGGACAACGTGGCACTTTGAAAATCCTTATGAGAGTTTTTCGAAATTTTACTATACATTCTACTAATAAAATGTATAGTAAAATTCAGGGTTGGGAAAGTTACTTTGTAAAAGTATCTAGTTACAGTTACAAGTTATCAATTCTGAAAAGTAACGCGTTACAGTTACAGTTACTCAAAAATTAACGCATCGTTACTTTGCAGTG